TGCAGGTGGAATTAGAGACTTCTGGTTTATAAAGTGTTAACACTAGCAGCTTTGTTATATCTGTCGGTTGAAACAATATCTCTATAAATTCTAAATGAATTTCAATGATAATTTGTGAAAAGGTAAACCAGGGACCAGGGTACTATAGTGCAATACATCAGTTTGATGCTATGGCACACATCTGTAATGTTTTTAGCTACGGATCATTGGGGATTTCAGGTCATGCAACAACATACACCTTCTTCTCAGTGAGCCAGTCGATACTATTCAGATATTAACTCATGCCATCCATTAGCTACAATTATTCTCATAGGATTTTACAGCTCTCTTAACCCACCATGACTCCTCAGGTTTTATATTCCATTCACTGGCAACTTCTGGTTCATCAGCTTCTTCCTACTTCCATAAAAAAGGAAGCAAATGCAGTGACCAATTTCTTAGCAAATATGGAAACACTCTCGACTTGAAGTAGTAAGTAATGATTTTTCATTTCACTCATATATATATATATATATATATATATATATATATATATATATATATAGTAAAGGTAATAAATCCATTGGTATATAATCCAAGTGGATCCTAGTAATATAAAATATTAAAAATTATCCACAAAAAGAGCTCAATGTATTTATTATTACAGAGCAAAAATTGATACACAATCACCTCATATAGAAAATAAGCTTATTTTGAGTGATGAAATTATATTTTTTTCAATCTTACTCAACTCCGGTATAGACTGAGTTTGTGTCAGAAATAGAAATTTAAACTGTGAAAGCTAAAAAAATGTATTTATTATTATTTAAAAAGGTATTTATTATTATTGACCACTGTCTCATGCCTTTTGTCTGACTGAAATATTGAAATGGATAAATTTTGTATTAGGTTAGTTTTTATAGATACAAATATTTGGATACGCATTGAGCAGATATGAATGTATGAGAGGAAATCATAGAGAATTGTATTTAAAAACAGTAAAATTGACCTTTCTAACCGAACACTCCTCTGTGTCCCAATCGGTTAAGGCACGTCAGGCTATATGACAGTTCCGTATAGGATACAGGTTTGATTCCTGTCAGAAGATGCATATTTTCTATGAAAATTTCTCGGACATTCAGGCCGGTAAATGTTGTTAAACAGAGCATTTACTTAAATATTTGTATCTATAAAAAATAACGTATAAACATAAAAAATGTCTTAAAAAATAATTGTCTGACTTTGTTCATTTCATAATATATATATATATATATATATAAATGATGTTACCCAATGATAATTTATTCTCTTATCTTATTTTACACGTCATTCATGTTAATCATTCAATCAGCACTAAAAAAGAAAAAAAAACCCTTCCCCATGTGTCTGTTGGGTGGAAAAAAAACCTAATCCATGTGAGGGGGTCAAACAAGTGCAAGATCTTAGCCAAAAATCCCCAACAGGAAACAATGGTTTGGATACCTTAATTCCATCCCATAGTTGAAATTCCATTGTTAGATGTAGTTTTAGGTTATACCCAAGACTCACTTTCTAATCCCTTAAAACAAAAAAATCAAGATTAAATATTAACCACAATTTCCCTTCTTCTTGTTGATCGCTAACCAAACTTTTTAAACCATAACCACCAATAGGCTTCTTTTAAATTATAAATTGGATCCAGGGATTATTTAAGAATGTTGACTATTAATTTTAAAACAATAAATTATCCTTATCAAGAAAGTAACTTTTAAGGATGTGTAGTGGAGCAAAATTGTGTAAAAATGGAACTGGGGAGCTCTGTTCAAATTTCAGGCTAATCTGTTGCATTCTCTTTTGCACTAATGCCCTTGGGAAAGGTATGAATCCATCTCTTCTCCCTCCCAGCTATGGGTTAAATAGAAGGGTAGACTGCATACTCTAGCTTTGAGTAGCAGCCAGCCAGCCAAGGATACAGACAACTCTGCAAGGAAGGTAACAGATAACCACTCCACAAACTTTCCCAGAAATCATGAAAGTTCACAGGCAAAAGAAATGGAAATTGTGGAGAGCTTTGACCCCTTACATCCTTAAGGAAAATGACATTAAAAAAATAATACTTATGTGAAGTGTAATATGATTATCTCCCTTTTTATTATACATTTTCTTTTATTACAGTATAGTTTTTCTCAGTTTTTAGTAACAATGACAATGGTGGAAGTATGTGCTTCCTGAATGTTTTCTAGTTTTCAGAGCTTTCATAATTATGAACTTGAAATGTTTTAACAAGGGATTAGCAGATTAAACCTGTTCTAAGATGACTTTATAATAAGCTTTGAGTTTATCATCTTTTAAGTATAATCTTTTTGGTTTGGTTTGGTTATTTGTTTTTACACTTTGAATTGAACAAGTATGCAAAATTTCAACACCTACAACTTCTGGAACATTTTCTAATCTTCAGAAACTGTTTTATTACTAATAATTGTCTAATGTACTTTTTAAAAGGTATTAAAATTCTTTTATAATACAATTTTTTTTTCATTATAAAAAGCAGATAAAGAATTTTTATATTACAGTCAAGTAATGAACTTGCAGTTAAAATAATTTAGTTAAACAGAAAGAATGATGGATTCTCTAAAAGCGAATAAAATTTATTTGGTTTTAAATATATGATCGCATGAGAATTGATAAAACATACAGGGCACGGTCTTGTGTTTCTCATTCATCAAATCATTGAGCGGCTATTTTCTCACCTGTCTACTCACAGAATCGTTGCTCTCTCACTGACTATGGCTGAGCATGTGTTCTTGGCCTTGTCCACTCAGTGAGTATCTTCTTTCTTGTCTGACTATACACAGAAAACTTATTCTCTTGCCTAAATAACCACTTGCTTTCTCACCTGATTATGCACTGAGTACTTGATTTCTTGCTTCTATACTTGCTGTTGAAATCTTTATAACATCAACAGAATACAATACTCGCCAGCGACGTGAAGTAGGTAAACCACTGCTAGTGGTGGACTATTTAGATAGTATATTATCCCCACTTAAATAGTGTCCAACGTATTTATGAGGATTGGGACATACTCATTAGTGTTCATAGGTTTGGTATATAACAAACATTAAACTCAGTTTTAATCCAATGAAGTCTCAATTCATACACAGTAAATAATTATAAATCTTGAAATTTTTCTTATTTACCTTTTATATTACCTGTGATGAAAAAAGGAGTTAAGTCAACATATTTCCACGAGCTGCATATATCAAAAGGTCATAGAGAGACATGTAGCTCATGAGTGGCAGTTTGACCACCCCTGATATATACCAACAAACATGTTAAGGAAATAATGTCTCCTGTTATGCCCAAAACAATATGACTTTGGACGGTTTATATAGAAAAACACATTCTCAGATTTCAACTCTGTATAATTAATTAACACACATTCATTTATAGGTTAATATATATATATATATATATATATATATATATATATATATATATGGAGACTTGCCGAGAGTATCAACCTTAGCTTGCAAAAGACGTGTCCAGTTTGCCGGGCATTGTGCACATGCCACAGATGAACTTGTGTCATCATTTGTACTCTGGAGGCACCCATCATCTGACAATCGATCACGCAAGTTAACCTTTCCAGATAGGATAAAACGAGACACAATGATCCCTAAGGAAGATCTTTTAGGAGCTATGACGGATAGGGAATACTGGAGAGGTGTAGTGAGTTCAATCTTGGCTGAGGCCGCAGGATGAGGATGATGAATATATAGTTAATTAGCAAATATAATGTATATACAAGTGTAGCATGCCTTATAGATGCAGTAGACAACAGGTGAGGTGGAATGATTGAAAGACAATCAAAGATTTAGAAACAGTCACAAAAAAATTCATATGCCAAAAATAAATATGGTTTCAAAATTTAAAATACTATTATGGATGACTTATAATTGCATGCATGAGTCCCAGTATAAATATTTATAAATAATTATTGACCAATTTTATCAGTGTGATATTTTTGCATTATATCAAGTATTAAGAATATTGTAACTAGGGTCTCTAAATTAGAAGAGAGAGTTATCAATAATAATGTTCTGACTTCAAATCCACAGTTATCTCCCTTTAACCTTCTCTCTGTTTTTTATTATTAAATATACTTTTTATCACATAAAATTTGGTGAGGCAAGAGCAAATTTGAATTCTGAAAATGCAGCCCAGAGAAAAAAAAGGTTTGGGGACCACTGATATACACACTTAATTAGAAATGTATGATCAAATAAGTTTACAATCCAACCTACACATTAACACTAAACCTACATTTTAATCCAATGGCTTCTCAATTCATACCCAGTAAATAATTATAAATCTTGAATTTTTTCTTATTTAACTTTTATATGAACTGTTATGTAAAAAAGGAGCTCAGCCAACATATTTCCATGAGTTGCATATTAAAGGCTAAAGAGACACATATGACTTACAAACTGCAGGTTGGCCTGCCCTAACTTATGCAGTCAGATGACTGCATAGGTCAGGGTGGGCCATATGTGTCTCTTTGACCTTTAATATGACTTTGACTATGCAGTGAGTACTTGATTTCTCACTTCTCTACTCACTGCTGAGTATCTGCTCCACTAAGCAATTGTTTTCTCAATTGTCTACTCACTGTTGAATGCCTGTTCTCTTGCTCACCTACTCCCTCAACTGACTACTCCTTGAACATCTCTTGTTATCTAATTTATCATCATCACTTTCACTTCCCTATGGTTGGTCAGAACTCCATTGACAATTCTTTTCCACATTGTTCAGTACCACATTGCTGTCCCTAGATCTCCAATGTCCAAACCTGAGTCCCGAGCTATGTGAAAGTCAATTTTCATGAAAAGACACTTCAGAAGGATGCCATAGGAGTAAGAATGAGATGATTTTCCTGTCAGCTCTTTTACTCAGACATGTATGAAAAAAAGATTTTGGTTTATTTCTGTACAGCAAAGAATAGAAGAAAAGGTAAATAAAATATTTTCTTGATGAATGTTTACCTTCTGTGTTTGTGCACAATGTTGAAAGACATGCATATCATGCCAGCCATTATACCAAGGAAAGACAGGACACACATGCTGAAAAATAATCCTCTTGCCACAACTCTTAAGGACCTAATGAATCGAGTGTGATCTGGAGGGGGTTTTCCACCTGTAAAATTAAAAAAGAAAAAAATAAGACTTGTATTTTAATAGAAAAAATCATTTTCACAATGATTTATTTCTTTTCAAGACAGGATAGATTTGATCTAAATGCATTTTATTTTTTGAAAGCAATGAAAAAAATATGAACATGAATAAAGTAAGTAAGTTTGGCAAAGTTTAACAAATGTATCCACAAAAAAAATGGAGTGTCAAAAGCATGTTTTTTTTTCTTTTAACACCACTATAACTCCCTCAACAACTTTTATTGTTTTAAAAATCTGTAATTAGAATTTTAATAAAGCCAAAATATTTGAAACTGGATTTATACATTATTTTCTTGAGAACTGACAGCAAAAATGTTGAACGCTATTTATCTATTTGACTGTTTATTTACAAGAATAGTCTTTTGTTATCAATTCTCAACAATAAAAAAAGGAGAATGCATATATCCCATGGGACAATATTCTGTGGAGAACAAAGCCTTAAACCTATGTTTCTTCAACAATAGCCTACCTTTGGTTCCTGATTTTGGTAATATAGTAATTGTGAGTTCAATCGCTGATCTGAGCAGTGTGTACTTGAAATGAGTGGAAACAGGGCAAGCAATAATTGAACAGTACTAAAAATAAGAACTAGACGAGATATCCCTAAACATGGGCAGTGGAATGAGAACAATCTGCCCCATTGATTAAATAAAGGGTTCAGTTTTAAATATAGGTGACCTCGATCAACCCACACCTGATGAATGCCAGATTGTACAATGACCGAAATGTATTGTGTTACACTGCATTAATGTACATGACATGAATACTGTCCCTTTAAGCCCCTTACTGATGACCTCCCTCTTATGACATTCCTCTGTAACCCTTGCTGTTTGAAAATTTTTTTAATCCTTCTACCTCCCACCGTTCCTTCCCTCAGCATTAAAGAACAATGTCTCACTCAGACCTCACATTAGAAGTAACAACAACAAAAATGAGGAAAATAATTTGTCTGATCGGTTTGATAAGATCAAATTGGTAGCTGAACTCACAGTAATTGTTTGCTATCTTGTACCACTGGTCTTAAGTCATTATAAAGTAAAATATTTTCATACATTTTTACTAAATTTGTTTTCATGTTGCTTTTTATCTGCTGAGGTTAATAGTTTTTGACCCTCAAAATAAAAGCAGTAATTGAAAAAAAAAAAAATTAATTAATCTATGATGAGAATTGAAATTGCATCTCATATCCAAGAAATGGCTGTCACCTTAATTGATTTAACTATGGAAGCAAGGCTCAAAATTACAGGTGATGTTAATGCAAGCCTCACGGCCATATGTTGAAACACCAGTTCTTGTACGACCATCAAAATTAAGCAACATTGAATGACTCAGAAGACCTTAATGTGGGACTTGCTTCTGGGCTGAGAGATCACCAGGAGTTTGACAAGTGGTGGTGAGTTAATACAAGATTACTCTAATGATTTTAGAATCTGTCGTCCTAAAGCATTGTGACAAAAAAGCATCAAGAAGATGAAAGAAAAACAATTTTAAAAAAATGACTTGGAGAGAAAATTTAAAAACACAAAGTTGATGATTGTCTGTCTAATCATTAGGCTTCCAAAGACAAATTGCTTCAGGTATCTTTCATATAACTGACGAGTTCCTAAGATATCAGAAATAAGGTAAAGTCTCATTAGAAGCAACTTCTTTAGGACAGTTTCATGCAACTATTTCAGGATTTAAATTTTCATTTTTACAGGGTACATATTTTATAGGAGAGGAATATTTAAATATTCATTCTTACAGGGTATGTATTTCGTATGAGAAGAGTATTTAAATTTTCATTTTTACTGGGTACATATATTATAGGAGAGGAATATTTAAATATTCATTCTTACAGAGTATGTATTTCATATGAGAGGAGTGTTTAAATTTTAATTCTTACAGGGTACGTATTTCGTATGAGAGGAGTATTTAAATTTTCATTCTTACACATATGTATATCATTTGAGAAGGGTATTTAAATTTTCATTTTTACAGGGTACATATTTTATAGAAGAGGAATATTTCATTCTTACAGGGTATGTATTTCGTATGAGGGGAGTATTTAAATTTTCATTCTTACAGGGTACGTATTTCGTATGAGAGGAGTATTTAAATTTTCATTCTTACAGGGTATGTATTTCATATGCAAGGAATATTTAAATTTTCATTTTTACAGGGTACATATTTTATAGAAGGGGGGTATTTAAATTTTCATTCTTACAGGGTATGTATTTCGTTTGAGAGAAGTATTTAAATTTTCAATGTTACTGGGTACATATTTTATAGGAGAGGAATATTCAAATTTTCATTCTTACAGGGTTCTTATTTCATATGAGCGGATTATTTAAATTTTCATTTTTAAAGGTTACATATATTATAGGAGAGGAATATTTATTTTTTCATTATTACAGGGTATGTATTTCATATGACAGGAATATTTAAATTTTCATTTTTACAGGGAACATATTTTATAGAAAAGGAATATTTAAATTTTAATTCTTACAGGGTATATATTTCATATGAGAGGACTATTTTAAGTTCCAATCTTACAGGGTAACTATTTCATTTGAGAGGAGTATTTAAATTTTCATACTTACAGGGTACGTATTTCATATGAGAGTAGTATTTAAATTTTCATTTTTACAGGGTACATATTTTATAGGAGAGGAATATGTAAATTCTCAATCTTACAGAGTATGTATTTCATATGAAAGGAATATTTAATTTTTGTTTTAAAAGGTAGATATTTCATATGGGAGGAATATTTAAATTTTTGTTTTTACAAGGTACATATTTTATATATATATTTAAATTTTTATATATATATATATATATATATATATATATATATATATATATATATATATATATATTTAAATTTTCATTCTTAAAGGGTATGTATTTCATATGCAAGGAGTATTTAAATTTTTGTTTTTACAAGGTACATATTTCATATAAGAGGAACATTTAAATTTTAGTTTTTACAAGGTGCATATTTTATATGATCTGTCTATATTTCATCTCAGAAATATAGACAGATCCTGAAGAAGGCAGGAGTGTACAATGGCCAAAACATTGTGAATGTGACAGTAAAGATGTGGGCAACAGTTTCAATGATGTAAATAGTGTAAATTAATGTTTGACATTACTCAGAAAGATTGTGCAGCACCAGTACAACACTGGTCACTGGAAAATTTGTGTGTTAGTTCCAACTAGTTCCAGGATATATACATTATGTATATACAACTATTCTGAATTTAAAAAAAATAATTCTAAAATATGCCTAGTTCCCTAAGAGTGTGTATGGCAATGACTAAATGAGCACTATATATTTACTGTGTTTTTACTTAAAAATTTATAAGTCTACAAGTAATTTTTTTATCTGTCATTATACAATTCGTTTACTACCACTTTACTACAATTTGTTTTAAATCATTTTACCCCAAGGAAGGTGATAAAGCCACTAAGACATAAGAGTTTTACTGAGAGTAAAAGAAACTGAGAAGACATTACTGAGGTGAGAGGAGACAATAAAAGATCAGGATTCAAGGAGATAGAAGATGATTACTGATGTTGCATTTAGATTTTTATGGAATCACTGGAAGAGTCTTCTCAGTTATAAAGTCCTTTCTAATGGGTAGGTTTCTGAAGGTAGTTGTTTATGGCTAGTCCTCTGAAACCCAAGTGATTAACATGGGCATCCCCTATTGGATTGCTTCTCAGTTCAACACTTTTTCTACTTTACATAAAGGCTCTACTGAAAAGTATATTTCAAGTATTTGTGTCTATCTATGCCAGGGGTCGGCAACTCATTCGACCCCACGGGCTGGATTGTGTTATAATGACAGGTTGTGGGCCGGACAAAGGACATTAATGAAAAATTAAGGAAAATTACATATGCAGACCCCTGTCAACCTAAATATTTAAAACCATAATGAAAATAAACATTGAGAAATCAGAAAAACAAAAGAAAATCTAAAATTAAAAAACACCTAACAAAAATTAATTTTCCTCAAGGAACGTCAAAATACTTCAAAGTGAAAAAAATCAACCGAAGTGAAATGGATGAAATTATGATGTGTAGGTTTGAAACTGTTATTGAAAATTGTTCCACAAATGAACCACACACACACACACACACACACACACACACATCAAACAAAAACGAAGCACATATACCCATACATACGAGTACAAATAGTTGCAAACATATACACTTACGTACGTACACATGCGGTATCATCCACACATTCATGAGGCATGTATGTATAATGCGCGTATGTTTAACTATCTTTAGATTTCTGCTACCTCGCATGTTAGTCCCTCCCTGGCCTCTTTCATTTTATCGTTCCTTTCGCTTCTGTTATCTATTAATGTAGCCAAGGGTCATAAGAAATATGTATCCATTATTTGACATTAAACGTAGGCAACGCAACTTGGTAAAATAAGTCTCATGAAAGATAACTGGCAGATAGTCTAATATTTTTAGTACACTGAGATGTGTAGACATTCTATGGAAAATGACATATAACAAATTTCATTTGAAGGTCATCTCTCATGTTAAAAATAGAGTCATTGGTAATCAGGCTTGCGGGCCAGTCAAAATGCCTTCGCGGGCTGGATCCAGCCCGCGGACCGTAGGTTGCCAACCCTTGATCTATGCTGAGGATACAATAGTATATGGGTTCACCACCAAAACCGTCGATAACCAGAGGCTCAGTGGGGGAAAAACATATTCAATGACTTGAAAACCAAACTGGTGACATTTCATCATCACCAAGCAGAATTTTCACATATTGTGATGAATGGATGTTCTCTCAGGAAGGCTCTGTGTCTTGAGCGCCTACTGGGATGTAAGCTCAACCCAGACCTCAAGTTCAATTCAAACATACAATCCACTGCCAAAGATGGTGGAAAAATGGTTGGTTCCCTGTACTGCTCCAGTAAGCATCTGATCCCTCCTGATATTCTCTACCTT